CCGCTTTATCATAAAGTAGCTCACCACCCAGAGGAGTGGCATTAACTAATCTGTCAGTCTGTTGTTACAATGATGCAAAGAAAAGATCGGCCTATGACCATTTTTTTTGTAGAGACAATGGTGTGCATACGGCAACAGACAAGGAGAAATGGGAGGCTTTTCTCCATAGGTTTATAGCTCAGACAGATCATAATGATGTAGACATCAGGGATGCAGTTATATAGGAGTTAGCTGGCACCTTAGAGAATATGCATTTTGAAGACATGATACAAGTAAAAGATATCAAACAAATTTTGAAAAAGGCAAAAAACACTGTATCAGGGCCAGATGGGGGTCAGGTATGGTCACATGAAGGCTTTGAGCAATGTAGACCTGGCAGAGATGGCCGACTGTTTTAACCAGAGCATTAAGACAGCATCAGTACCTCAGGACTGGGTGCACAGCTATCTAATCCCACTACCAAAACTTTTTAAAGGTCATTCTAAGCTCAGTGGCTTTAGAATCATCACCTTACAAAACACATTTGGGAAGGTCTTGGAGAAGATAGTTGCTGTAAAGCTGCAAGAATTTTGGGAAAGGAGGAAGCATCTCCCAAGAGGCCTAGAAAGCTACAGGCCAGGAAATGACACAGTGGCAAATGCGGCCACTTTTGCTTTTGACGTCTGTGAAGGGTTCCAGAACAGACAGGAAACTATGGCGGTAGGACTGGATCTCGAGGATGCGTATAACAGAGTGAGATACGTCATCTTGATGACTGCACTGAAGGAGAAGGAGGTCAGTCCATGGCTGGTGAATTGGATTGCAGCTGTCCTGTATTCACGTTGGGTTGCTCTCCGACTGGGTTCATGGACCTCAGAACCAGGCATTTTGGCCCCAGGACTGCCACAGGGATCCGCCATCTCGCCTGTGCTCTTTAACTCTTTGAGTTCCAAGGAACACATCATACGTTCATAGGTTCCTGCGCAGGGGCCCAATGAATGCAAGATGCATCGATTTTACATCTCTCTTGACTACCCCCTGAGCCTCTGATGCTAAACCCCCTGGTACTCAAAGAGTTAAGGTGTATACAAGCAAGATTGCAAGCCTAGAAGCACCGGGAGTTGGAAGGATATTGACTTTTGCGGATGATATACTTGCATATAGGCATAGGGAAGAGAGGGAACAAACAGCCCGGGAGCTACAAGCGACAGTAGACAAAGTGACTGAGTGGTGTACAGAAATGAGTGCTGTCATCCACCTGGAAAAGGCGTCTGTTTTGTGGTGTTCTCTGGACAACAGAATCGTTAAAGCTAATGTCCCAAGTCTCACTATAGATGGTAGAAACATCAACAGAGAGAGCAAACTGAAGTATCTGGGAATTACATTTGACAGGAGCCTGTCATTTAAGGACCATGTGGAGAGTTGTGACAAGATGCCAAAAAGGACTTAGTGCACTTAAAACAATGGCTGCAATTGACATAGAGCAGAGAATGCTTTTCACACTATATCAGCACCTGATCCTGTCAGTGGTTGATTATGGCCTGGGACTGCTTACCGTCTCAAAGAGTCAGATGGACAAACTAGAGCGCATACAGAACGCGGTTATGCGGGTTAATCTGGGTTGCACCAGAGACACCCCAGTGGTGTGTATGCGATACATCCTTGGTTTGCCGACTGTTTCAGGTAGGCACAAGGTGCTGCAGGTGAAGTCATATCTCAGGGTAGCTGCAGACACAGACCACCCTTTGCATGAAGCTCTGGGTGCAGCTAAGGGTCAGCTGCTGATAAGAGGGAAGTCATAGATGGCTCAGGCAGAAGACACAATCAGACAGGTTTGCATCCTTAAGAACATTAGGCGAGGAGAAGAGTTGGTCAAAGTGCCATCTGAACAGTCAGTCTTGTGTAGGGTCATAATCACACTGAGCTGGGAATGCAGAGACTGGCCAGCAGGTGCCACAGAGGTGGAAATTCAGCAATTAATTCAAGATAATGCTCGCTCAGAGGATTTTATCATTTACACAGACGGTTCAGTGTCAAGAGGCAAAAGAAGTGCTTGGGGTTTCTTAGCAAAAGTTAATGGTCGACGTTTAGTGTAGGAGAGCCTAGCATTTGATACCACAACATCCAGCTTAAGAATAGAGGTGGAGACGGTCACTGCAGCTTTCTGCTGGCTAGAGAACTTGACACACACACATCGTGATTGTAACTGACTCAGAAAGCATGCTGAGGAAGATCAGGACAGGCATGCTTTATGCAGAGTGGCATACCTCGCTGCGGAGGACACGCGTGAGGAGTATTGTCTGGATTTTTTCACCTGGTTACGCTGGTGTGTTGGGAAATGAACATGCAGACAGAGTGCCTGGCTCTGCACAACTTGGTGGAATACTGATACATGATAAGGCAGATGTGGTTAGTGCCTTGTGGGAGAGCATGTACAGTTCAGAGGAGCAAATGGATCACCACAGTCTGGCGAGATTGATGCAGGGGGAGTGAGGAGAGGCTCTGGCAGATGCTAGAGGCTCAGAGGAAATGCAAGACAGATGTTTAATCAGTATGCTACTGGCACCATTAGTATCGGTACTCTTCGCTGGCTGCTGAAGATGAGGATGGAGTGCTAATGGGAATGCCCCGAGTGCTGTGATGTCGGTTCTTGAATCAAATCAAACCAAATCTGTTGTTACCTCGCACACCTAAATATCCTGGACAGAAAATCCATGAAATGCTCCTGATGCCGGTCTTATTAAGTGATGAAGCCACTCTGCGCTCAGGACACTAGTTTCAATTTTTCGATGCATGCTCTGTGAGTGTGTAACAATTACAACATTTTGCGCTTGCTGCTCTCAAGCCATTGGAAAGCTGCCGTTGCTGCCTCCACCTCCATTCTTGTACTTGATGTAGTGACATTGTCTGCAGAGCTTTCTGTTTTCAAACAGTGTCACCTTTGCGATAAAACTCCACCCATTCTTTTAACCTTCCCTACAGACCCATCTGTACGTATTATAATGTCACCTCGGCATGAGTTTTCATTGATTAGCTCTTGCACCACTGACTGTTTCACCAGCTGTTCATTTTTGGCACCCTTGGTCTGAGTCAACTATCACTCTGTGCAAGTCTGTTGGCAGCCTTGATCTGAGGCAACTATCACTCTGTGCAAGTCTGGTCTGAGGCAGCTATCACTCTGTGCAAGTCTGTTGGCACCCTTGGTCTGAGGCGACTGTCACTCTGTGCAAGTCTGGTCTGAGGCAACTATCACTCTGTGGAAGTCTGTTGGCACCCTTGGTCTGAGGCGACTGTCACTCTGTGCAAGTCTGGTCTGAGGCAACTATCACTCTATGCAAGTCTGGTCTGAGGCAACTATCATTCTGTGCAAGTCTGGTCTGAGGCAACTATCACTCTGTACAAGTCTGTTGGCACCCTTGGTCTGAGGCAGCTATCACTCTGTGCAAGTCTGTTGGCACCCTTGGTCTGAGGCAACTATCTTCTGTGCAAGTCTGTTGGCAGCCTTGGTCTGAGGCAGCTATCAATCTGTGCAAGTCTGTTGGCACCCTTGGACTGAGGCAACTATCACTCTGTGCAAGTCTGTTGGCACCTTTGGTCTGAGGCAACTATCACTCTGTGCAAGTCTGTTGGCACCCTTAATCTGAGGCAACTATCACTCTGTGCAAGTCTGGTCTGAGGCAACTATCACTCTGTGCAAGTCTGGTCTGAGACAGCTATTACTCTGTGCAAGTCTGTTGGCACTCTTGGTCTGAGGCAACTATCACTCTGTGCAAGTCTGTTGGCACCCTTGGTCTGAGGCAACTATCACTCTGTGCAAGTCTAGTCTGAGGCAACTATCACTCTGTGCAAGTCTGTTGGCACCCTTGGTCTGAGGCAACTATCACTCGGTGCAAGTCTGTGGGCACCCTTGGTCTGAGGCAACTATCACTCTGTGCAAGTCTATGGGCACCCTTGGTCTGAGGCAACTATCACTCTGTGCAAGTCTGTTGGCACCCTTGGTCTGAGGTAACTATCACTCTGTGCAAGTCGGTTGGCACCCTTGGTCTGAGGCAACTATCACTCTGTGCAAGTCTGTTGGCACCCTTGGTCTGAGGCAGCTATCACTCTGTGCAAGTCTGTGGGCAGCCTTGGTCTGAGGCAGCTATCACTCTGTGCAAGTCTGTTTTGCTGGGCAGAACTGTAACACATGCTTCACCATGTGCTATCTTGTCAGTAGCAGAAACATTTCTGATCGTGACCTCTGCCTGTGCCGTCCAGTCGTTGTCCTTGCTATCCTTTAAGACCTCAATCAGAAGGTGTTCCCTGTTTGTCAAGGTACATTTTCGCTTTTGAAACATTTTATTTTTTATACACAGATGGCAGTGCAAGTATGTGCTGTATGACTGAATTGACGTGTCTCGTGTACATCCCAAAATGACATTTTGCTTTATTCTATTTGTGTTTTAGCTTCTCTGTTTAGATATAAGATAATGTTAACAGTCCAAAGCCATACTCTATCACCGATATAATCATTTTCTGTAATGTTCAAATAAATATTTTCTGTTTCATGTCCGCTGATACCATTACCTTCAAAGCACCGAGTCCTTTCCCCATCTTAAAAACTGCATTTTCCACATGGCATTTAAAAGGCAGGCTCCTGTTAAAAGTGATTTCCAAATATTTTAGTGACTTATCTCTCTTATGTGGCTGCCATTTTTATCTGGCAGTTGTTATGTCCGGCAACACATCTCTAACAATTTTGTTATTTAAAGAAAACCACAATACTGCTGCCTTATCTGGGTTGATGATTGAACCTGTTTCCTCAAACTACTCCCCGACCTTATCTACCGTGAACTGCAGAATTCTAGAAATTTCTGTTCTATGTTAGAACCACCCAGCAATGAGTGGATATCATTTATATGTAAAGAGTCTTCAAGAGTGGACTTTGGACTGTATATGAGTCAAAACTATTTTTATATTGTCTTTATAAACACTAAATTACTTCTGTGATCTCATGTCAGTTTTGTATCTTCATAATCTAGCAACCCGAATGCAAACAAAAGACTTGAGCCTTGTCAGTCTTCATCACTGTTGGACATCGGAACTAGACGTATTTTCAGTGAGGACCATGACATTTTTAGGCAGAGTGTTAGACGGTTCATGCAGGAAGAAGTCATACCTCACCATGACAAGTATGTCGAGTACTAATATCAGCTGCTATCCTTGTTTTAAAAAACTTTTTTATGTTTTCAATGTTTTTATATAAATTAATACATACAGTAAAGTGCATTTTTACATTTACTAAAGGAAGGAATAAGCTTTTCCTTACATTTGCTCAAAAATTGAGTTAACTGTTGCCTACATTCAGCTGTTGAGGTTTTATGCTCCATGTGGGAATAAAGGGCAAAAGATGGAGAAGAAGAATTTAGCTACAGGAGATATTTCCTACATTTTCACAAGAGGTCATACCTCATCAGGATAAGTATGTAGAGGGCATTTGAGTAATTGTAATACTTTTTCCTTCCTTGTTGCTTTCTCCTTTGACTAAACTATTGCCTTTAAAAAAAAAACTTTCCTGGTATGCTCTTGCAATGTTTTTTGTTCATACACAAATATTAAAACCTGTTTTCATGAAAGTTTGCTTGCACAGTGAAATTCATTATGACTAAAGGAAGGAATTAACTATTCTCTATTCAGCTATTGAGGGTAGAGTGTAAAAGATAGAATAGAAGAATTCAGCTTGAGAAAATATTTCTTAAATTCGGTATTTAGTATTGTTGGGATATTCTTACTAGCTGGAAGATGGAACTGCTGACATTTCCCTTTGTTTAACATGGAGGAAGGACTTGCTGTCATATATGTTTATTTAACATGGAGGAAGGACTTGCTGTCATATCTGTTTGTTTAACATGGAGGAAGGACTTGCTGTCATATCTGTTTGTTTAACATGGAGGATGGAATTGCTGACATTTCCCTTTGTTTAACATGGAGGATGGACTTGCTGTCATATCTGTTTGTTTAACATAGAAGATGGAACTGCTGACATTTCCCTTTGTTTAACATGGAGGATGGACTTGCTGTCATATATGTTTATTTAACATAGAAGATGGAATTGCTCTGACATATCCCTTCATTTAAAATAGAAGATAAAATTGCTGACCTATCCGTTTATTTAAAATAGAAGATAGAATTGCTGACATATCCCTTTATTTAAAATAGAAGATGGAATTGCTGACATATCCCTTTATTTAAAATAGAAGATGGAATTGCTGACATATCCCTTTATTTAAAATAGAAGATGGAATTGCTGACATATCCCCTTTTTTAACATGGAAGATAGAATTGCTGACATATCCGTTTATTTAAAATAGAAGATAAAATTGCTGACCTATCCGTTTATTTAAAATAGAAGATGGAATTGCTGACATATCCCTTTATTTAAAATAGAAGATGGAATTGCTGACATATCCCTTTATTTAACATGGAAGATAGAATTGCTGACATATCCCCTTTTTTAACATGGAAAATAGAATTGCTGACATATCCCTTCATTTAAAATAGAAGATAGAATTGCTGACATATCCCTTCATTTAAAATAGAAAATAGAAAAGCTGACATATTCCTTTATTTAAAATGGAAAATAGAATTGCTGACATATCCCTTCATTTAAAATGGAAAATAGAATTGCTGACATATCCCTTCATTTAAAATAGAAGATAGAATTGCTAACATATCCCTTTATTTAACATAGCAGACAGAATTCTTAATGTAACCATAGTATGAAGCAATTATTAATGACACAGTTATCACAGGAACTAATTATAAACCCATTGCGCCCAAATTTAGGTGTCCCTAGATACTCATTACCTATGCTTCCAAATGAAGAAGCATAGCTCATATTTCACACTATCTTTCCATTTCTCTTTGTCATCATCATCATTATCATCATCTTCGTCGTTGTCATTGTCATCATGAACCACATCTGTCATTAGGCATTGTGAGAGGAACAATTTATGATCCTGTGCAAACTCTTTCATAAGCTATTGCCATGTCATGAAGGCATTACATTTCTTTTATGTTTTATTTTGTGTGTGGCTATCCTCTTGCTTTTGTAGCTCATCTTTATATATAGTGACTTGCCTTGTTTCAGTTTTGTTTGCCTTGATCTTCATGTTGTATTTACTGCATGCTGAGCTTCAGTGGTTAATGTGGTCTTGCAGAGTCTACCATTTCACTTTGTTCCTGTGCAAAGGAAAGTTTCCTTCTCTTTTGATTTATCATGGAGCTGTTTTCCTCTGGCTCTGATGGTTGTGTGTTCGTTTCATGAGTGCAGTGTTTACAGACCCTTGGGGATCATCACTGGAGCTGTAGTGTCCGTGTTATATGCAGCACTCTTGGCAGATGGCTAGTTGCAAAGAGAAACATTGTCGTATGGGATAAAACCCAGTGCAGAAAAGTTGATTTTCTCCACTTTAAGCTTCAACTTTAATTGATCATTAAAATCTTCATCACCATCTGTCTCTCTGGACTTTCTGTTTGTAATAGGACATGATTGTTGTTCCACTTGTGTATTCAACTGGAGAAGAGATGTTTGTCAGCATTCCACTTCTGTATTCAACTGGAGAAGAGATGTTTGTCAGCATTCCACTTCTGTATTCAACTGGAGAAGAGATGTTTGTCAGCGTTCCACTTCTGAATTCAACTGTCTGTCAGCATTCCACTTCTGTATTCAACTGGAGAAGAGATGTTTGTCAGCATTCCACTTCTGTATTTAACTGGAGACAAGATGTTTGTCAGCATTCCACTTCTGAATTCAACTGTTTGTCAGCATTCCACTTCTGTATTCAACTGGAGAAGAGATGTTTGTCAGCATTCCACTTCTGTATTTAACTGGAGACAAGATGTTTGTCAGCATTCCACTTCTGAATTCAACTGTTTGTCAGCATTCCACTTCTGTATTCAACCGGAGAAGAGATGTTTGTCAGCATTCCACTTCTGTATTCAACTGGAGAAGAGATGTTTGTCAGCATTCCACTTCTGAATTCAACTGTCTGTTAGCATTCCACTTCTGTATTCAACTGGAGAAGAGATGTTTGTCAGCATTCCACTTCTGTATTCAACTGGAGAAGAGATGTCTGTCAGCATTTGAGCAGTCATTATTAGATTATTGATAATCATTGTCATCTTTAGTGTCTAATTATCATCTGTCATTCTGACCAGTATGAATAATCATGCTTTGTTTTCTTGCTTGATCACCAGTATCCTAAATTAGGCTGGCATTCTTGTCCTGATTTTTCGGTGTCTCCCAGAAATTCATATATTTTTTCTTCCTTTGTTCTTTAAAAAAGAAAAAAATCAAATTTACAAGTTTTAAAGTTTAATTCTGCTTATAACAAGCCCAAACAATATTGAATGTGTATGTCTTTTTTCTCTCATTAATTATAGTTTTCATTTATTACTTGGAGAACAGCCTAATTTGTTTGCCTATAGTATTCTTTTCACACAGCATTTGACAAAGTTAAACATGAGGAAATGATACAAATGTTGGAAGACATCAATGTAGACAGGAAAGATCTCAGAATAATTGAAAACATTTACTGGAACCAAGTAGCAGCAATTAAAGTGGAAAATAGATTGGGTACTTTTAAACAGATAAACCAAGGAGTAAGACAGGGATGTATCTTATCCCCAGACCTTTTCTCTCTGTACAGTGAAGTAATTTTGAAGGAAATTAAAGAAAAAGCAGGAATAATAGTGGGAGAAAACAAAATAAACAATTTGCTTTATGCAGATGATACAGTTTTGATAGCTGAAAATGCAACTGATTTACTACAACTGCTGGATATTGTGGTGATGGAGAGTGCTAGGAAAAGACTTTCCTTGAATTAAAAAAACAAAAAACAACAGAAGTAATGGTTATATCAAAGAAGAAGACAACACTACATTATGATATCTCAATTGAAGGAAAAAGGCACATGATGATGATGATGATTCTTTGCATTTTGCTTAGGAACCTGTTTACACTGCCATTAATTGTTCCTCATATTGTCTGCCTAATATTGTCTCACATGCATTCAAAAGTTTAGGTCCCATATAACAGTTGAACATATTTTTTTTCTCACTGAAGCTGAAATTTGTTGTTGCCGGTTAGTATTTTTTCAGACTGGCAAAATGCTGCATTTGCCATGATGCTTCTTGTTCTTGACAAGGCTTCTTATGTCAGATGTTATGGTTGTTCTGAATTAGTGGTACCCATTTTCTTGTTGAACAGTTGTCTCTTGAGGCATTTCTTTCGTGTGAAGAGCATAACTGCTTTTTTCTTGCAAGTTAATTCTAAACCTAGTTTTGTTGTTTAAACTGGGACCATTGAGTTAAATTAGTGCTACATTGACAACTGTGGACAGGAATTGTTTACTTATTTCTTTTATTTCCTTTCTCTAAATTTAGCTATTTGGAAGGGATTGTTGACACATTCTTACATTTAGTCATAAAAAGAAATTATGAACTTAACATTACAGTTAGCTTGTGGAAGACATTGTTAGCATAATTTTAAATAAAACCAACGTGCAGTCCTGACATTTTGTGTACAGATAGTAGTCCTCACATTTTGTGTACAGATAGTAGTCCTGACATTTTGTGTACAGTTAGTAGTCCTTAGATTTTGTGTACAGATAGTAGTCCTGACATTTTGTGTGCAGATAGTAGTCCTGACATTTTGTGTACAGTTAGTCCTCAGATTTTGTGTACAGATAGTAGTCCTCAGATTTTGTGAACAGATAGTAGTCCTGACATTTTGTGTACAGATAGTAGTCCTGACATTTTGTGTACAGATAGTAGTCCTGACATTTTGTGTACAGATAGTAGTCCTGACATTTTGTGTACAGATAGTAGTCCTGACATTTTGTGTACAGATAGTAGTCCTGACATTTCGTGTACCGATAGTAGTCCTGACATTTTGTGTACCGATAGTAGTCCTGACATTTTGTGTACAGATAGTAGTCCTGACATTTTGTGTACAGATAGTAATCCTGACATTTTGTGTACAGATAGTAGTCCTGACATTTTGTGTACAGATAGTAGGCCTGACATTTTGTGTACAGATAGTAGTCCTGACATTTTGTGTACAGATAGTAGTCCTGACATTTTGTGTACAGATAGTAGTCCTGACATTTTGTGAACAGATAGTAGTCCTGACATTTTGTGTACAGATAGTAGTCCTGACATTTTGTGTACAGATAGTAGTCCTGACATTTTGTGTACAGATAGTAGTCCTGACATTTTGTGTACAGATAGTAGTCCTGACATTTTGTGTACAGATAGTAGTCCTCACATTTTGTGTACAGATAGTAGTCCTGACATTTTGCGTACAGATAGTAGTCCTGGCATTTTGTGTACAGATAGTAAATTTGGTTAATTGTTATCTTGCATACAGGTGGGAGAATGATGGTCAAGTCAGTAGAGAGGTTTGTATCAACATATTTATGGTATGTTTGTCTTCCCATGATCTGGGTAAGTTGACTCAGGTTATCCCTGACACAGGTAAGGTTTAATTGACAATCACTGTATCTTATTGTAACAATGGCATTGGAACCATATTAAGGTTGTTGCGTATCCTCTAGAGGACGTTGCAGAACCAACCCTAACAGCCCCTGGCTGTTGTGTGGTTTCTCTAGGCAAATTTACGTCCAGTAGTTTGCCATTGCTTTCTGGACGGTCGGCTTTCTTGATACCACTGTCGAAACCAACGCAAGGCGCATTGCCCGCAGCTGGGATCGAACCTGGCATCCCGGCATTACGAAGCGAAGTGTTCGCATCGACTTAGCCACAGAGCCGACTGGAACCATATACATTTTAAAAAAAGCAACAGTGTATATAACCTGTAAAATACATTAGACATTTCTGATGTGTAAATCTCTTAAACCCAATCAGTTTTGTTTTGGGAAGAAATATTTCCAGTTCAGGAAATACCTTTGGAAGCAGTTGTTCTCTTAGGGAGTCTGTGAAATAAATGGTGTCAAGGACCAGGAAGCAAATATGAAAATGCTATATGCAGTTTAGTGGTAACTGGAACTTATATAAGGTCCATGTAAATCATTCTGCTCTTCAGCGCATGTCTCTAGAACTGTATGGGTAGCGCAAGAGAATACTTATCCACACCTGGTTCATCAGAGGAATGAGTGTCAGTGGCACTTAACACACCCTGTTCATCAGAGGAATGAGTGTCAGTGGCACTTAACACACCCTGTTCATCAGAGGAATGAGTGTCAGTGGCACTTAACACACCTGGTTCATTAGAGGAATGAGTGTCAGTGGCACTTAACACACCTGGTTCATCAGAGGAATGAGTGTCAGTGGCACTTAACACACCTGGTTCATTAGAGGAATGAGTGTCAGTGGCACTCAACACACCTGGTTCATTAGAGGAATGAGTGTCAGTGGCACTCAACACACCTGGTTCATCAGAGGAATGAGTGTCAGTGGCATTCAAAACACCTGGTTCATTAGAGGAATGAGTGTCAGTGGCACTCAACACACCTGGTTCATCAGAGGAATGAGTTCAGTGACACTCAACACACCTGGTTCATTAGAGGAATGAGTTCAGTGACACTCAACACACCTGGTTCATTAAAGGAATGAGTGTCAGTGACACTCAACACACCTGGTTCATCAGAGGAATGAGTTCAGTGACACTCAACACACCTGGTTCATTAGAGGAATGAGTGTCAGTGGCACTCAACACACCTGGTTCATTAGAGGAATGCATTCAGTGGCACTTAACACACCTGGTTCATTAGAGGAATGAGTTCAGTGACACTCAACACACCTGGTTCATTAGAGGAATGAGTGTCAGTGGCACTCAACACACCTGGTTCATTAGAGGAATGAGTGTCAGTGGCACTCAACACACCTGGTTCATTAGAGGAATGAGTGTCAGTGGCACTCAACACACCTGGTTCATTAGAGGAATGAGTGTCAGTGGCACTCAACACACCTGGTTCATCAGAGGAATGAGTTCAGTGACACTCAACACACCTGGTTCATTAGAGGAATGAGTGTCAGTGGCACTCAACACACCTGGTTCATTAGAGGAATGAGTGTCAGTGGCACTCAACACACCTGGTTCATTAGAGGAATGAGTGTCAGTGGCACTCAACACACCTGGTTCATTAGAGGAATGCATTCAGTGACACTCAACACACCTGGTTCATTAAAGGAATGAGTGTCAGTGACACTCAACACACCTGGTTCATCAGAGGAATGAGTTCAGTGACACTCAACACACCTGGTTCATTAGAGGAATGAGTGTCAGTGACACTCAACACACCTGGTTCATTAGAGGAATGAGTGTCAGTGACACTCAACACACCTGGTTCATCAGAGGAATGAGTTCAGTGACACTCAACACACCTGGTTGATTAGAGGAATGCATGTCAGTGACACTCAACACACCTGGTTCATCAGAGGAATGCGTGTCAGTGGCACTCAACACACCTGGTTTATCAGAGGAATGCGAGTCAGTGACACTCAACACAAAGGGCAACAGGTATTTGGACTTAGTCTCTGGTGGCATCAGCATAGAAACTCTTAGTTGGCTACTGGCGGAGGAGATAGAACATGTAGCCACTGTCCTAAGTGCAGCAGGGTTTTTTGTGTACTGGTCTGAGGTGTTGGCATTGATGAACATCAACAATAGAAGTGGTCCACAACACCAAGGATCCAGATCTGTCAACAGATATGAACACTTTTATCATCTGACATATCCATATTTACTGTGATGAACTCAGTTACAATAGTAACAACAACAAAACTATAAATTAAAAGACTCGTTTCACACCTTGAATAGTATTTTCTCAATAGAGGCCAGCTGCATATTTTTTAGACCAATCAGCACTCAGTAGATGGCAGAGTGTCCACCCAGTCCAGGCACTTATCAAAGAGTGGCACACCCAGTCCAGGCACTTATCAAAGAGTGCACCACCCAGTCCAGGCACTTATCAAAGAGTGCACCACCCAGTCCAGGCACTTATCAAAGAGTGCACCACCCAGTCCAGGCACTTATCAAAGAGTGCACCACCCAGTCCAGGCATTTATCAAAGAGTGCACCACCCAGTCCAGGCACTTATCAAAGAGTGCACCACCCAGTCCAGGCACTTATCAAAGAGTGCACCACCCAGTCCAGGCACTTATCAAAGAGTGCACCACCCAGTCCAAGCACTTATCAAAGAGTGGCACAATGTTTTGCTCCTTCTTGTCAAGAGAAGTAATTGTGCCCAGCCAGTTCATACATTTCTCATTAATGTTTTCAAGTATTGGATTTCCCTGAGTAGGTTCTGGGGCCCCGTTGTGGGGAAATCAAGAATAGACCCACTGCCTCCCTAACAAGCATGTCATAGGAGTCAACTAATTGGGGGCATCCTTTGAAGTCTGAGTGATGTCTGGCTTGAAGGCAAGAAACCGACAGTCTGCATACAGATAAGCCAGATCTGCCAAACAGATGTGCCAGCAACATTCAGATTCTGGAACAGAAATAAAGTTTGGAGGTGGGCAAAGAGCTAGAAACTTTCTCCCGGAGTTTACAGCTTGTGAACCTGAAGAAGAAGAAGAAGAAAAAGAACTACTGGAGAATTAAACCTTTGGTTGTAATCCCTGCACATTTTTAACATTTCACAATTCCTTTTAGTTGTTTTATGGTTTTTATTTGTTTGAATTCCGCCAAAATTGCCTTATGATCTCAGAGCCCTTTGTAGTGCAAACAATTTCTTTTCTTCTGCATTCAACATCAGCTTTATTAAATATTAGGTCCTCTTAAAGTCATAAAGAGGGCAATAGATCAGAGGTCCCTGCTTGTCCCAAACATTTTGTCATGTAGTGTAGCTCCCTGGGGCCAGATCCCCAACCTCCCAACCTCAGCTGAAGGAGGGCCTTAGGACAGTTTGGGTTCGTCTGTAGCTCTAATGGACTAAGTTGTGGTCGATTACTTGCCCCTTTTCCCAGCTAATGTGCCTTTGAATTTCCTGGAAATACCACAGTGAGCTGGTATTCACTGCGGGACCAGTTCTGCTTCCTTGGAAAGCAAGCTGATGCTGTTCCTCAGGTCTGCAGTTAGTATTGTTTTTTTTTTTCCTTAGAGAACTGATGAATAAATATTTCATTTCCTTGAGCATGTGGGCAATGATTTATCCCAGTTTTTCACTTGCTGAAAATATTATTCTGACACTGTATATCTAGAATACCACAATAGCATGTAGGTGGGCTTGAGATGACATGCAACTGTTCTGTGTGAGCAGGTATGGGAGAAGGCTGGGCAGATGGGCTTGAGATGACATACAACTGTTGTGTGTGAGCAGGTATGGGAGAAGGCTGGGCAGATGGGCTTGAGATGACATGTGACTGTTGTGTGTGAGCAGGTATGGGAGAAGGCTGGGCAGATGGGCTTGAGATGACATGCAACTGTTGTGTGTGAGCAGGTATGGGAGAAGGCTGGGCAGATGGGCTTGAGATGACATACAACTGTTGTGTGTGAGCAGGTATGGGAGAAGGCTGGGCAGATGTGCTTGAGATGACATACAACTGATGTGTGTGAGCAGGTATGGGAGAAGGCTGGGCAGATGTGCTTGAGATGACATACAACTGATGTGTGTGAGCAGGTATGGGAGAAGGCTGGGCAGATGGGCTTGAGATGACATACAACTGATGTGTGTGAGCAGGTATGGGAGAAGGCTGGGCAGATGGGCTTGAGATGACATACAACTGTTGTATGTGAGCAGGTATGGGAGAAGGCTGGGCAGATGGGCCTACTTGGAGTTGATACGCCTGAGAAACACGGTGGCCTTGGAGGTGATTTCCTCATGTCCTGTGTTGTCGGGGAAGAACAGTAAGTCTTCGTGTTTTAGGCTTTTATTTTTGCTTTCTTGTCTCCCTGTATCGATGCTTGGCTGTCTGTTCCTTTGTAACTGCATACCTTTCTCATTGACTACCCCTGTGTCTGTTCCTTTGTAACTGCCTACCTTTCTCATTGACTACCTCTGAGTCTGTCTCCCTGTATCCATGCTTGGCTGTCTGTTCCTTTGTAACTGCCTACCTTTCTCATTGACTACCTCTGTGTCTGTCTCCCTGTATCCATGCTTGGCTGTCTGTTCCTTTGTAACTGCCTACCTTTCTCATTGACTACCCCTGTGTCTGTTCCTTTGTTATAGATATCACTTCAGATTTAATTAAAACAATGGATCATTTTCATGCCACTGATGCATTTGTGTATATGCATGTGTCAAATGCTAGATTCATTATTCAAAACAGTGTTTTCCCGTAACGAATTTAAACAATACGGACACAATTTTTTGCCAGGCCTATTTTGCTGTACCTCGTCAGGTGCGTTACTACAGAGTTACATTAACATAAAATGAAGCACAACAAATTGAATAAATCCAACTGAAATGCGAATAGTTTCTTTCGACACATCGAGGTGTGTTTTGGCTGCTGGAAGCTCACTGTAGTGACGTGACTTACCAGGGTAACTTCACATTTACTATAAATTCCGTCTGCCTACAAAGCTAGAAAGACTGGACAGGGTATAAAATGAGGCCATGATACTCGCACTCGACTGCAAAAAGACACCTCATGCCATGCTATGCGGTATGTCCTGAGTTTACCGACGATGGCCACTAGAACATAAAGTGCCACAGGTGACAAGACAGCCTACATGAGGATATCAGCAGACATCAACCATCCTTTGCACAACGCTATCTATGGTATACAAGAAATGTGTTTCAAAAGAGGCTCCTCCTGGATGGTGAGACAGACAATCTAATTCAGCAGTAGTGGAACAAATGGACAGATACACCAGTAGACATGCATGACTTGTCTAAGGTTGTCAGAACACTGGGCAGGTACTGCAGGAGTCAGATACCAGTCACCATAGACGCTGACTTTAGGGCACTGATTGATCAGCATTCTTGCCCAGAAGATGTTGTCATTTATACAGATGGGTTACTGAAGCGCGGGCCAAGATCAGCATGGCCATAGACAGCACAGAGGATGGGGAAAACAATAAAAGATTATAGCAGTGCTTACCAGACAACTACATCATGGAGATAACTGCTGCTTCCAGAGCTCACACATGGGTAGCAGAACAAGTGGCCACACTTGAAAAAAAAAAGGTTGTGTTGGGTGTGTTTAGTGCAGAGTGGCAAACATCACTTCAGAGGTCCTGGGTAGTTAGTGTCCTTTGGATATTTTCCCCAGTAAATTGGTGCGTAACAAGCTAGATGTTGTAAGGGCCTTTAAGGAGGGAGTAAACTGTGCCGAGAAACAAATAGATTATCATTGTCCGAAGAGAATGTTGCAACGAGGAGCGACCAGGGGATCTGGCTGATGCTCATCATCGGAGCTAGGGGGCTAGATGGCCAAACAGTCAGACTGTTACTGATACCATTAGCATTTGAACTCTGCACTTACTTTTGAAGATGGGGACAGAGTGCTTATGGGAATGCCTCTTCCCTTTACTGAACACTGTAGTATTGTTTTTGAGAGGTCTGTGTATCATATTCAATGTTCATACCATTGCATTTTCCTACTTTTCACTGTAGTTGAAAGAGGTTCATAGTTACCAATATGCTGGTTAATTTTACGGCGAATCTCCTCATTTGTGATATGGTCTCTATAGGACATGCCAAGAATGTTTCAGAAAGATCACATTTCCAGTGTGTATCTAAGTTTCACAGCCATATGTAAACATACTAATAGCTAGTGCAGTCATAGCTTAGTTTGACATGAAAGATATAAACCCGAACGCAAAGATAGTTTGACATGAACTGTTTTTGGATCTCCATAGCTAACGGAACAAATGTTGGTAAAAAAAAACCTGTACTTGTAGCGGTAAACAATTGCTAGAATATTGCAGAGAACAGGCAACAATTGAGGACCCTAATTGTTTAGACTTTCATCATTTATAACTGAGATTATGGGATGATGATCACAAATTTGTGTTTGTTTGTTGATATTTCTGAAATGTTGTTTTGTCTTTCTGTATTCATTGACGTGTGCAGCTTAGGCATTGCAAACGCACTTCGTAATGCCGGGGTGCCAGATTTAATCCCGTCTGCAGTCGATTTTTGATGATTTTGTTGTCAGTGGTATTGAGAGCTGAATGTTCAGAAAGCAACGGCAAACTACTGAACATAAATTTGCCTATAAAACTGCAACAGTCAAACAATTCTGGGGTTGGTTCTGCAATATGCTTCAAAGGTCACGCAATTATTAACTACCTGTATTTACTTATTCATCTTTTAGATTATATGCTAACTGCACCGGACCTGGCTGGGCACTTCATTCTGACATTGTAATGCCATATATTTCTCATTATGGAACCAAGGAACAAGTGGAGAAGTTCTTGCCCCAGATGACTGCTGGAAAGTGCATCGGGGCCATAGCAATGACAGAACCCAGTGCTGGAAGGTCATTTTTTATTTTTCAGATTGAATTTGAAACATTATTTCATTCTATTTTGTAACATTTGGTTCATTTTAGACAATTTAATGGTGGATACACTTGTCTTGGGACCTGAATAAGTCTGTGTTTTTCTTATTTTCCTTTTTTCCTTCTTTCATAAATGGATATTTGGACCAGGAGTGGAATTTTAAATCTTTTAAATGCTAAGTTATTTTATGATTTTTAATTAATTTGTTTAAGGGTAGTAATATGGTTATCAGTGCTGTTGTATTTCAGTGAAGTCTTTTAAGTCACATTGCACATATTATCATTCATGTCTTTGGTTTATTGGAGAAATGTTACACAAGACCAGTTCTGACTGCCACCAAGTGGTCATCTTCACAGATGCGTTATCGGTGCTTTAAGCCCTCAAGAAAAGATATAAACCCGAACGAAAAGTATATTAGCAAGCTTCACAATATAACAAATACAAACAAAATGTGAACATTGCGGATATTGAGCCTTCGTCAGCACATACAAATTAAACAATACTACATAGATACACAAAAACACTTAGCTGGTATCTCGATGCGGCCAGGTCGATTGTTACTCAGCAAAATGACCACATGTGTCAGCTGGGGCAATAAATAACCCCCTGTGGAGTATCAGGGGCCATAACTGGGGTGTAGGGGTTGAAACTGTGAGGGCAGTTTAATCCCCTGGAAGTTTAAATGAAGCTGTGTTGGCATTTCATTCTGGGCTCAAGATTGAAAAACTCCCTTACTTGAGATCTGAACTTGGCAAGGTGGCTGCCCAAAAGTGTACTGTACTCCAGTGGGTGCCATCCCACTGTGGTACACCAGGAAACGAAACCGCAGATTAACTTGCTAAGAAAGGGGCCGAATGTGACCAGAAAGAGAATGCAGAAACATACTATGAGAAGAAAAGGGCCATCCAGGCTATTAGAAGTGAACAGAGTCTGGCCAGAGATGACTACCACTTACTTGACCGGCATGGGCAGGTCATTGTCCTACGTCTCAGGACAGGACATAACAAACTTAACCAGCATATGCACAGGCTTCGTCTAAGTAGTTCACCATTGTGCCCTTGTGGGCTATGTCTGCAGACTACAGAACATGCTCTGCAAGACTGTCTCTTGTTCAGCCCATTAGGAAGAGAATACTGGCTCAGTGAGTCACCACTGCATGCAAAGTTGTATGGAACTAAAAAGGAACTGATAAAAACAGTCAAGTTTATCACACCTGTCTGTCGGTGTAAATCGGAAAGCGAACACAAGAAGAAGAAGAAGGAGGTGGAATGGAGGGAAGTCTTTTAAGCTGTTAGCCTAAAATGGTAGTTGCTGTTCACATGAAAGAGGGGTCAGGAGAGGTGGTGTCATGTGCCAATATGATTTGCACATTATTATCATTATTTAATGTAACCAATGAAATTGCTTAAAAAAACTAAGTTGACCATCTGTCTTTTGTCTTATGCCATGATTACATGTTCTTTGAATGTTAAACAAGCTAAATCTCAAATATAATATCATTTGAGGACATTGTTTACTAGGATATCACAATTATAATTTACTGGATGTAATTAACACCTCTCGTCTGATAAATCTAATGCTTCCTTATAATGTCATATGTTTTAATTCAGCAATAATTTCCACAGTGATCTACAGGGGATTCGAACTGTTGCCAAGAAAGATGGAGCTGACTACATCCTCAATGGCAGCAAAGTATTCATCACCAATGGTTATATGTGCGATCTTGTCATCGTTGTTGCCATCACCAACACTGCAGCAAAATCAGCAGCACATGGAATCAGTTTGTTCTTAGTGGAGCAAGGAATGAAGGGTTTCGTCAAGGGCAAAAAGCTGAAAAAAATGGGCCTGAAGGCGCAGGTTTGGCATGTTCATTGAATGCAGAACTTTTTGTTGACTCAAATGTATTACTCTTAGCAGCAGCTCTGTTAGGCATGTTCTGTGAGTATGAAGGTGGAGGTCGTGACTGCCTGAGGTAGATTGGCAATATAGAGAGCAGTTTTGAATCAGATTTATAGTCTATACTGTGGAAATTTTAAAATGGCTGGTTAAATTATAGATTGGACAGTTGCACTTAGTCTCTGCACTTCCAGTGATTCTGTTGTCCCTGTCAGTCTCTGCTCTTCCAGTGATTCTGTTGTCCCTGTCAGTCTCTGCACTTCCAGTGATTCTGTTGTCCCTGTCAGTCTCTGCACTTCCAGTGATTCTGTTGTCCCTGTCAGTCTCTGCACTTCCAGTGATTCTGTTGTCCCTGTCAGTCTCTGCACTTCCAGTGATTCTGTTGTCCCTGTCAGTCTCTGCACTTCCAGTGATTCTGTTGTCCCTGTCAGTCTCTGCACTTCCAGTGATTCTGTTGTCCCTGTCAGTCTCTGCACTTCCAGTGATTCTGTTGTCCCTGTCAGTCTCTGCTCTTCCAGTGATTCTGTTGTCCCTGTCAGTCTCTGCACTTCCAGTAATTCTGTTGTCCCTGTCAGTCTCTGCACTTCCAGTGATTCTGTTGTCCCTGTCAGTCTCTGCACTTCCAGTGATTCTGTTGTCCCTGTCAACACCGGTGTGGCTAAAAATACTAATGTATTGGCTGTGAAGGTGTGTAAAGGAAACATTCAAAACTGTTGACTAAACGTTAGTTTTATGAGGTGAAGAAATTTTATTCAGTATATCCTAATCATAAATGTTAAGATAAACTTTTAAAAGGAAATCTCTGTTTGAAAAATGTGGCATTGGTTGTTCATCACCGTGGATTTTGTCATTTAAGAAGTACTAGTTATTACCTTACTATTATTGATTTGTCTAAATAAGTCAGTTATAAAACTAAACAAAATATTAAGAAAACACCACAGAACATCAAGTTAAATTTATGAATAGTTAGAACGGATTAAGAAATTAAGGAACAGTATCTTGTCACTATACAAAATTAGTATAATGCAATAGAAATTATACAGACTATTGATGAACAGTGGGATATGTTGCGTGAGTCAATTCAGCAGACATCAAAAGAGACAATCCCACCAACCCATACAGTTGCAAAAAAGAAATGGATGTCAACCAATATTCTGCAGTTGATGGATAAAAGAATGAAGAAAAAGAATGATGAAGAAGAATACACTAGAATACAAAAAGAAATAGTGAACAAATGCAAAGTGGCTAAAGAAGCCTGGCTGAATCAAATGTTGGGGAAAATGACAGGAAAGACTCACATTCCATGAACCAACAGATAAATATGTTAACAGGAAAGATGATACGTAACAGCACTGGATGTTTGAAATCAAAAGATAGCGACTTATTAATAGGACATAGTAATATAATTAACAGATGGACAGAGTGTATGGGGGAATTATATGATGATAATAGACCAGACGTAGAACTGCAGACCAACAATATAATAAATACCAAGGTGATGGACAGCCAAAAAGAGCAACTAAGAGGTTTTGAAAGAGGCGGGAGCCTGAAGACAACTTATCACAGACATCAGAAGGAGACAGTCATCATTTTTTGGCCATGTTATGAGAAGAGGGAAAATAGAACATGCTGTGACTACTGGAAAAATCTGTGGAAGGAGGGACAGAGGAAGACAAGGAGAGAAGATGCTTGACAGTCTTGTTGCATAGCATGGAGGTATGTCAGCACACGAACTGATACATGCTGCAGGAGATCGCAGATTAGGGAGAGGCATGAAATTATGTGAAACTGCTTTAGGTGGTAGTTGGCAATAGTACCTGACACAAGACGCTAGCATGTACACAAATGGTATGTGATGAAAACAGCGCACATAGGCATGTGCACTCACACGTGCACATACATGCACACATACACTTCAGTATCTGCTGAGGGAAGCAACATGTGTGTACACACATGTGCACACTCACACACATGTGTACACACACACACACTGTTCAATATCTACAGAGGGAAGCAACATGTGCACACCCACACACATGTGCACACACACTGTTCAATATCTGCCGAGGGAAGCAATATGTGCACACACACACATGTGCACACACACACACTGTTCAATATCTGCTGAGAGAAGCAACATGTGCACACACACACATGTGCACACACACACACACACACTGTTCAATATCTGCTGAGGGAAGCAACATATGCACACACACACACATGTGCACACACACACACTGTTCAATATCTTCTGAAGGAAGCAACATGTGCACACACACATATACACACACATACACACACACATGTGCACACACACACACACACTGTTGAATATCTTCTGAAGGAAGCATTATGCGCAAAGAGTCATTATTAAATAAGATGCTTCTGGAGAAGTTCAGTCCGTGGACAATAATTGGAATATGATTATTTTATAGGACACGGCAGAACTGTTCTTTGAAGATGTCAGGCTTCCAAAGTCAGCTCTCCTAGGAGAAGAGAATAAAGGCTTTTATTACCTGATGAATGAGCTACCGCAGGAGAGACTTCTGATTGCCATCTTTTCACTAGCTTCTTGTGAGTTCATGTTTGAGGAGACCAGGAAGTATGTCAGGGAGAGGAAGGCATTTGGGAAGACATTGGCCAAACTACAGGTGAGCTGACTGCCAACAGGTGAGCTGCCTGCCAACAGGTGAAGCATTTTTCTTGTTTAACATTTCAGTATTTCAATATGTCCTCTAATAACTGTTTAATCCCTTCAACAGAACATTTAAGTTGGACAGACTTAGCCAACTAAAACCGAATAATAGTTAACTTTGTCGTTCCAGTAATGCTAAAAGATATGGCTCATGACCCAATGGGAATTCATGACAAAATCCTTTAAAAGCACAAGTTTCACAGTGGTCACTAATATGTTTTAAAATTCATTTGTCTACATTTTTAATTGTTGGAAACATGACAATTATGGTGAATTTAAACCAACTGGAAGACTTGGTGTTGCAGCTTCCCAAGCTGACAGGGTTAAGCCTCTTCATCACTTCTAAAAGAGGTATACCATCTCTGCCTGTCTGTGTGGTCTGGATGATAATGAAAGTCCCCACCCATACCAAGATTGAGTTTCTGTGACATGCAGCTTAGAATAGCTTGGTCTCATGGCTTTCGGACAGTGCTGTAGGACTGTGATGAAGGAGGCTGCTGTCTCACCATCTACTGCAGCCAAATTATATTTTGAAGATGGCAAAACCATAAAAAAAAATTTATATATGTATTAAAATTGCAGTTAGGTCAGTTAAACATGAAGAAATTAAAATCTTTATTACATCTTTTGAAGTTATCGGCGTGTCTTTGAGAGGACACATAACACGACATGGAAAGTTCACAAGACTTTAGCTATTTAACTTTGCTATTGTAGTTTGTGTAGTGGCATTTTCAGCTAGACGCCCACCTGCAGATTGGAGGATCGTGGGTTCACGTCCTGTCTGAGTCACACTTTTTTCCAAAAATGACCTTGACTACCAGGTCGACTCAGCCTTAAGTGTGTACCAGGTGCAGTCCTGGGAAGTAAAGGTGGCTGGCGTGGTGTTGGTCACATCACCTCTATTAAAATACAGCTCTAGCCCTATATTCCCAATACACCTAAAGGCGTAGAAAAGGGACGTTCACTTTCTATTATAGTTTGTGTAGTTTACCTGTTTACTCAGATAATATTTATAACCCTTTTGCCTGTTATAGTTTGTGTAGTTTACCTGTTTACTCAGATAATATTTATAACCCTTTTGCCTGTTATAGTTTGTGTAGTTGACCTGTTTACTCAGATAATATTTATAACCCTTTTGCCTTTGTGACCTAGAAAAAAAAAATGCCAAAACCGTTTCCCTGAAAAAACATCCCTTAAAAAAAATGAACATTTTATACATTTCACAAACAGTTTCCTATCGATTTCATTTTCAGATATAAACAAACCAAAATCACACACTGATGAAATGAAGTAATGATGAATTGAAAACTTTAAACATTGAAGGTGAAGATCTGAGAATAATAAAAAACACATACTGGCTACAAGAACCAGCCATAAGGATTGACAACCAAGTTGGAATTTTTCAAATCATTAGATAAGGTGTTAGACAAGGATGTGTACAGTCACCTGATTTATTCAATGTGTACAGTGAAATAATAATTAGGTCCATACATGGTAGGCCAGGAATAGCAGTTGATGGGCATATTGTTAACAACCTGCGATAAGCTGATAATGTAGTTTTGATCGCTGAAAATGAAACACAGCTGCAAGAAATGGTGGATATAATTGTAGAGGAAAGTGAAAACAAGTGTCCTAATTTGAACAGCAGAGAGACATAAGTAATAGTAATTACAAAGAAAACTGACCCTCCAAAATGCAATATCAAAGTAAATGGGACAAACCTCAAGCAAGTTTATATGTTTAAGTACTTGGGTACCCAAATAACATCAGATGGATTTTGTTTACACCAAATTAAACAGATAACAAATTTCAAGAATAAAAACTGCATAATCTGTTTTGACCTCATCATCGTGAGGCTGTAAGGGAAGTAAGTAAGTAAAGTAAAGGACCCTTTTCCACGCCTTTAGGTGTGTAGGGCTAGACCTATATTTTTATAGACCAGTCGGCACAAGGTGGGTGATGTGGTCAGCATCACATCGGCTGTCTTTACTTCCCGGGAATGCACCCGGTACCCACTCAAGGCTGGGTCGACCTGGGAGCCAAGGTCATTTTTGAAATAAGTTCGGTGCAAATTGGTGCAAAAAAAGGCAACCAAAATATCTTCTGACTTAATTCTCATTTGAATTTTATTTTTATTAAATTTAATTTGTTCAGCCCAATGATACCCAGTCCTTATAATATTGGCACCAATTTTTTTTCTTGGAGGGACGCCCGGCTCTCTAGCGAAGTTGGCTAAACCTGATTGCGAGGAGACCAGGTGATGAACTCCTTGTGGTCCAGGTTTAACCCCGGGGGTAGGCAGGAAAGCAAAATTTTCTCCCAGATTTACGGTATTTACAATGGAATCAAGGCCGAAAGGTTGCGATATCCATAATACCGAGCCTAAGGGTTAACAACTCATGGCTTCTGGATACTATAACAAACAACAAACTTGGAGGAAAAGGTAATGGGTAATGGAGATGGTAATGGAGATGGTAATAGAGATGGTAATGGAGATGGTAATAGAGATGGTAATGGAGATGGTAATGGAGATGGTAATGGAGATGGTAATGGAGATGGTAATGGAGATGGTAATTCTATCTTATAGCCTATGACCTGATATGTTAAAGATTGACACCAATATAATTATATTGGGGGGCTGAAATAATCCTATAATCCTGACTGCTAACTCTGCCTCATTGTGAAATGAAATTCTCCAGGTGTGGTGGCTGTTTGCACTCACAACTTATTACAGTGTGACTGAATTGTCATACTAAAAAAAAAAAAAAAGCACAAAAAAAGGGGTCTTCTCTCAAAATGCTCATCATGAGAATTGCACCCCAGTAAATGTCGAGGATTGCATTGTGAAACAAATTTCACTAAAATTTAAGCCAAAGAAACGTAATGTACAGAATCTATACTAACAGAGGCACCTAACAATACACACCTGAAGCACATACAGGAAACAGTTTCACAAGAACTCATGTAACAAAAGACACTACCTCCAACTGCCACATTACTGCTGCAAGCTAAATGTCATCTTCCAGTTTCAGTGATGTTTTTGACGGCAGTTCATAAGAATGATCAAAGTCACAATGATCAAACTGTTCAAAAATAACTTCACCTTCACTTTCCGATTTAAAACAATCCAGAAAATATCCCACTGCATCATAAATATTCTCCGAACTGTTCCACCATGCCAGCCTTATGATCAGTCCATTTATGAAAACATGTGGTTAATGCAGTGGTTCTCAACCTGTGGGTTGTGACCCTTTTATAGGTTGAACAACCTTTCACAGGGGTTACCAAAGACCACCAGAAAACACGTATTCACTGAAGTATAAAGTGGCAATGAAAATAATTGGTTAGTGGTTGTGACAAAAATGAGGAACTGTATTAAAGGGTTGCCGCATTAGGAAGGTTGAGAGATCACTGGCCTAATGCATAGTTGACAAGGGCGCTTACCAAAAAAAATTATGGAAAATTTACTCTAAACACTACTGAATTGTTTCCCTTAAACATTGAGAAATATATGGACTAACAGTTTCAACTACATTTATTGCAAAAGTCACAGTTTCAACTCGGCAGTGAGGTCGAAAGCTATGATCGCAAAGAGTGCGATCGTGGTAGCCGAACGATAGTCAGGGGATTAACTATACACATGAGTCAGACCGTCAGGTGCTGTTTTAGCAGTAAAGGTTGGCAGCAGTGGACCTCTATCATGCTATGTCTTTCACCATAAAATACACTTTCTAAGACTGCAGTTTGTCCATCTTGTGATGTTATTCTTCCACTTGTATTACTGTCTGCCTCTTGCTCACAAGTTTTCACTTTAGTATGGGTTTTATGACAGTGTTTTGTCTTGTAATGTTATGACATATTTTACTTGTCTCTTTAAAAAAAATTCCTTTCAACAACTCCCTGTTTATTCTGCCTTCAGAACCTCTGTATTGGATACTTTTTCTGTCTATCCAAATCTTCATCGACAACATTTCAGTTTTCTGATTGCGTGGTCATTATCCATATTTATGTACCAAAGAACTTACAATTTCATGATCTTGATTGACACCCCTCACAGAGCAGCCAGCTGCTTATACTCTCTTATCCCTACTTTTTTGTCTGCAGACAGTTCAACACAAGCTAGCAGAGATGAAGACTGAAATTGCAGTTGGCCGAGCTTTTGTGGACCAGTGCATGGAGATTCACAATACCCGGGGACTGGACAGCAGCACCGCCTCCATGGCTAAGTACTGGTCAGTTCTGTGACTCTTGGTATTTCTAATGACAATTTCTAGCAGACCAGTTCAGCTGCCCTCCCAACACATCTCTCAGTGGAAGCAACAGACACAGACAACCACCCTAACTAAATCCAACAACTAAACAGGCAAAAGCAAATCGGTATTTTTTAAATAAGGACTGGTTAGTGCATGCTTCCTAGTCATATATGTAGTCAGCAGGTGTACAATCTATGTGTTCCTAGCCATATATGTAGCCAGCAGGTGTACAATCTATGTGTTCCTAGCCATATATGTAGCCAGCAGGTGTACAATCTATGTGTTCCTAGCCATATATGTAGTCAGCAGGTGTACAATCTATGTGTTCCTAGCCATATATGTAGTCAGCAGGTGTACAATCTACGTGTTCCTAGCCATATATGTAGTCAGCAGGTGTACAATCTATGTGTTCCTAGCCATATATGTAGTCAGCAGGTGTACAATCTACGTGTTCCTAGCCATATATGTAGTCAGCAGGTGTACAATCTATGTGTTCCTAGCCATATATGTAGTCAGCAGGTGTACAATCTATGTGTTCCTAGCCATATATGTAGTCAGCAGGTGTACAATCTATGTGTTCCTAGCCATATATGTAGTCAGCAGGTGTACAATCTATGTGTTCCTAGCCATATATGTAGTCAGCAGGTGTACAATCTATGTGTTCCTAGCCATATATGTAGCCAGCAGGTGTACAATCTATGTGTTCCTAGCCATATATGTAGTCAGCAGGTGTACAATCTATGTGTTTCCCATTTGAAATTGAAATTTCTTCAAAACTTGCTAACCACACTTTATTGTTGAAACAACACCACATGAACTGAATGATGCATTCAGTTAAACTAAAATTATGGGCTCCAGCCCTGATCCCAGAGAAGATGACTGACTCAGGCTTAATAAAAGAAAGCAATGTCAGTTGTATTTACTTACCCGAATGCTAAGAAGTTATATACAGCTTGTTGATGGACCAGTAGAGTTTGTCGGCCATTCTTGAGGGCAACAGTAGTCCTCTAACTGAAAAGAACTGTGTTTCTCAGTTCAATAAACAGTTCATTTTGTAGAGTTTTGGTTTGCTGAAGTTACAAAGTTGAGAGTCTTTCAAGATGTTAAAAGACTAACATTTAATGGTTTAAGGAAAAACATAATAAAATAAATGGTTTTTCTCTCTCAGAGATTGAACGAACAAACTTTATTTTCAAAGTGTTAAAATTAGGCACGCAGGCCTGTCTTACATTCGGCCCTTCCAAACTCCCATCTTTCACACAGCAGTTGTATTTCATCAATACAGCATGCTATGTTAATGCATTAATATGCATATTATGGATAGCAAGTCAAAAACAAAATCATGGGTGGTAAAATATGTGCGCATGCTCACGTGCGAACACACACACCCACATACACACGCAAACCGATTCACTCTCACACACACATCCACATACATATGAACATGCACACACACATACATACATACATACATACATATGTTCTACATACATACATACATACATACGTTCATACATACATACATACGTTCATACAAACATACATACATACTTTCATACATACATACATACATACATACATACGTTCATACATACATACGTTCATACATACATACATAAGTTCATACATACATACATACATACGTTCATACATACACACATCACCCACACAGACATGCGCTCTAAAACACACATGCATACAACCCAGACACATATTGACACACCCAGCTATACACACACATACATACACACACGTAGCCGCACAAAAAGACCCATACAGACGCACACACCAACGCGCACAGACATAAACCCACACAGACACACACGCATGCAGTCACAGTCTCACACACACAAACACATACACACATGCAGGGAAACACACAGATACACACACAGGCATTCATACAGTCACACACGCACACATATGCACACAGACATACAGGCAGACGCATAAACTGACACAAATAGAAACTCGCAGACATCGTATAATAGATACACCAATAGAGACACACACAGATACACAAAAAGCCACACACACAGTCACTCACAGCCACAGACAGTCACAGACACACGCAGAGAAACATAATGGCACACACACACATACATAAAAATACACTCACAGATGCACAAACAATCACACAGACACACACGTGCAGACGCACACACATTCTCAAAAAGACACACACACAGATACCCACGAAGCCACACACACACACAGACACACATTATAAAATAGACACACCCATAGAGACTCACACAGACACACACAAAGCGACACGCACAGCCACAGACAGATGCACATGCAGTCACCCACACAGACACACCTACAGACACATAATGGCAAACACACAAACACATAGACACACACACACAAACTGACACACAGAGACATACACACACATACTAACACACCAACCAACGCACAGATACTCGCACAGACACACACACACACACAGACGCACACACACAGACACACGCACACATTATCAAAAAGACGAACTCACAAGTACACACGAAGCAACACACAGAAACACACAGCCACAAACACACGCAGGCATAGACACACAGACACACACGCAGAAACACCTATAGATACACACACACAGACAGACAGACACACACACACACAGACAAACACGCAGCCACATCCACACATATACACATACAAACACACATAGACACACACCCACAGAAACACACGCAGCTACACATACGGATACACAGCACAGACTGACACACACACTGACACACACACAGACACGCTTTTAGACACACATTCATATGTACATAAAAACGCGCATATAGACGAACCAACACAGACACCATACAGACTGACACACAAACACACGCCCGAGACATACACTTACACACACACAGACCCACAAGACATACAAACAAACTTATACAGTTATCCATACATACACTCATACATACACAAAATCAGACACACACAAACACGTCTACACATGCATGCATGTCACACATATACGCATATATCATACACACTGTAATTAATTATAAACTAGTAATGCATTTTGGATTATTAACTACATTTAAGGTGGCATATAATCACTGGTAATCATGAAATGAAAGAGTTTGCAGTTAAATGAGTAGGGACTTTTTGTAGTTTTCAGATCGAGTTGAATATGGTTCCATAAATGGGCTGCAGAATATGCTAAACTTGTTTTTTATAAATAATTTCTGGGTTTAGGCAAATCTAATAAACTTAGTCGCTTGCTATTCTTAGGATTAGATTGAATCAATCGGTCAATGTAATTTGGCGTATCTTTAGATAGGATTTTGTGAATGAATTTGGCCTTATTAAAAATTAAACTTTTACTAAATGGTAGAAGTATTAGATGTCCATATAAAAGATTTTTCTCGACGTAGTTTCTATCGGAAACTGGGCGTAAGGCCCTATTTTGTAGAGAACTCAGCCGTTTGACATTAGATTTGAAGCAGCCATCCCAAATTGTGGAACAATAGTTAATATGCGTTTGAATGTAGGATACATAAAATATTTTACGTATATTTTCGTCCAGAAAGTTCGAATTTTTCCAAGTCGATATACTTTTTGTGCTACTTTTTTGGTCACGGTATGATGGCTGTCAATTAAAACACCTAATGTTTTGTGTTCAACTACATCAACAATTGGTAGCTTGTCGATGAAGAGCTCAAGCGGTGGCTTGTGTAAAGCTAATGTTTGTAGCTTTTGCCTAGTTGTTATCACCATGGATTTAGTTTTACTAATGTTAATTTGCATGCGATTATCATTGCTCCATTTTATAAGCTTATCTATTTCTTTCTGCAAAGAACGTTCTAATTCGTTACAATTGTCATGACTAGTATGTATTGTACAGTCGTCAGCAAACAGATCACATGTTATACTGAGATGTAACGGAAGGTCATTAATATAAGTAGCACAGTAGTGGAGGCAGACACATTGTCCTCAAACAAGTGTGTTGTAAATGCAGACACATTGTCCTCAAACAAGTGTGTTGTAAAGGCAGACACATTGTCCTCAAACAAGTGTGTTGTAAAGGCAGACACATTGTCCTCAAACAAGTGTGTTGTAAAGGCAGACACATTGTCCTCAAACAAGTGTGTTGTAAAGGCAGTCCCATTGTCCTCAAACAAGTGTGTTGTAAAGGCAGACACATAGTCCTCAAACAAGTGTGTTGTAAAGGCAGACCCATTGTCCTCAAACAAGTGTGTTGTAAAGGCAGACCCATTGTCCTCAAACAAGTGTGTTGTAAAGGCAGACCCATTGTCCTCAAACAAGTGTGTTGTAAAGGCAGACACATTGTCCTCAAACAAGTGTGTTGTAAAGGCAGTCCCAATGTCCTCAAACAAGTGTGTTGTAAAGGCAGACCCATTGTCCTCAAACAAGTGTGTTGTAAAGGCAGACCCATTGTCCTCAAACAAGTGTGTTGTAAAGGCAGACACATTGTCCTCAAACAAGTGTGTTATAAAGGCAGACCCATTGTCCTCAAACAAGTGTGTTGTAAAGGCAGACACATTGTCCTCAAACAAGTGTGTTGTAAAGGCAGACCCATTGTCCTCAAACAAGTATGTTGTAAAGGCAGACACATTGTCCTCAAACAAGTGTGTTGTAAAGGCAGACCCATTGTCCTCAAACAAGTATGTTGTAAAGGCAGACCCATTGTCCTCAAACAATTGTTTTGTAAAGGCAGTCCCAATTGTCCTCAAACAAGTGTGTTGTAAAGGCAGACCCATTGTCCTCAAACAATTGTTTTGTAAAGGCAGTCCCATTGTCCTCAAACAAGTATGTTGTAAAGGCAGACACATTGTCCTCAAACAATTGTTTTGTAAAGGCAGTCCCATTGTCCTCAAACAAGTGTGTTGTAAAGGCAATCAACCACTTCAGCAGTCTATGTACAGATAATCCAGATTTGTAAAATGGATGTACACACAGAACTCAAGCTCTGGGACAAGATGTTTGTGCTTTTGCTGCAGTGTTGAGATTCTAAGGTAATTTTTGCAGCTCTTCCTGAGTAGTTGCCATGAGAACTTGGTCATCCTCAACAAAGGAATGTCTTCTCTAAGGTCACAGACACAGCTGACACTTGTCTAGCTTTGAGGGAACATGACTGATTAGTGAATGTCTGACCAGCACAGTAGTCACCAGCACAGTAGTCACCAGTACAGAAGTCACCAGCACAGTAGTCACCAGCACAGTAGTCACCGATTTCATTCTCACTTGAACCTAATTTTGTTATTTGTTGTTCAGCCCAGAGATAACCAGTCCCTATAATTTTGGCAGCAGTATTTTTCTTGGAGTGAAAGGTAATGAATATAGAGGTGGTAACTTTATCTGATAGACTGTGACTGTGTTAAAGATTGAACCCTCTGTGACATTATTTTCCATGAGATAAATGTTACGTAATTTTTCTACCTATATAAATGTAACTTTGCTGACTTTTTAAATTTTTTTTTTTCAAATTCAGGGCTTCAGATTTGCAGAACAAAATAGCCAATCAGTGCGTCCAGCTTCATGGAGGGTGGGGTTATATGATGGAATATCCAATAGCAAAAGCATTTGTGGATTCCAGGGTGCAGCCTATCTATGGTGGCAGCAATGAAATTATGAAGGAGCTTATTGCTCGGCAGATTGTTAATGACTAGGTTACATTCTAGATGTACATAATATCAGTGTATATCAAATCATAGTATACAGTGTGCCAGTGACACTTACTGAACATTTAAACCGAAAAAAAAAAAAAAGCTTCTTATAATGCAAATGTTTCATATATTGATTGCAATTGTACCAACAGTTTTGATTAACCAGTGAATAAACACTGTCGTGTTTGATTTCTGAATAGAGTAAAATATCAACACATTAACAATTGCAAATACTTCCAATGGCAGAGTACAGTACCTTTTCTGATGAGTTGATGTTAGAGTATAAATTCAGTTGTATCAGTGATATGTATGCAGTCATTGATTCTATAACAACTGTCTTTGTTGTCTGTGTTGTAACATGGGCAGTAACAGAAAAACTGATACCATTGTATCAGCAACTTAAAATATTTATCAGTAGCGGCCCCTGTGATTTTCATGTCTAAGGTCTCCTGCAGTTATGTTAGGCTGATTCTCTAGCCTCCATGCAGTCTCAGTGATTGATGGTGAGCAACGCCATGTAGGTGCTTCCACTGTCAATGCTGGCGGTCACTGTTATTTCTGCTATGTTCTCTGTAGACTGTAACATCTCTTGCCTTCTCTAGTCTGTTTGAGATTCTTCAGTCTCCTTTCTGTAATCATGCACAATATATTCTGGTTTGTGTCTATTTTTTTTTTATTTTTTTGTTTGTTTCAACCCACCAGATACATTATATTTGACATAATTTTATGTTTCTAATTTGTTTTGGTACTTAGCCAGCAGCTCCTCTTACACAGTCCTATAATGACTCTAATATAGTTTTATTTTAGTATCACTTCAATCTGCAGTTTGTTAGTGTGTGTGTCTGTATGTGTAACATGCACACATGTGTCTGCATGCACCTGTGCACCAATGCAGGCCTGTCTGTATTTTGTAGTTGCCTTCCTGTTTTTTCATATTGTTCCTTGTAGTCTCTCAGCTTTACTGCCACTCATTTATGCAAGCAAAGCTTTGCTCTTGTTCAAACAATAAAAAAAATTACATTAAAAAAGAGGACCCTTTCCCTTGCCTTTAGTTGTGTTGGAGGCAGAATGCTATTAAATCTGCTGTGACAACTTGTGTTACTCAGTCAGTGTCCACAGGCTGTGAGATTCATTGAGGGAGACTGAACATCTTAAGATGTGCCTGATTAATTGAGGGAGACTGAACATCTTAAGATGTGCCTGATTAATTGAGGGAGACTGAACATCTCAGGATTTGCCTGATTAATTGAGGGAGACTGAACATCTCAAGATGTGCCTGATTAATTGAGGGAGACTGAACATCTCAAGATTTGCCTGATTAATTGAGGGAGACTGAACATCTCAAGATGTGCCTGATTAATTGAGGGAGACTGAACATCTCAGGATGTGCCTGATTAATTGAGGGAGACTGAACATCTCAAGATGTGCCTGATTAATTGAGGGAGACTGAACATCTCAAGATGTTCCTGATTAATTGAGGGAGACTGAACATCTCAAGATTTGTCTGATTAATTGAGGGAGACTGAACATCTCAAGATTTGCCTGATTAATTGAGGGAGACTGAACATCTCAAGATTTACCTGATTAATTGAGGGAGACTGAACATCTAAAGATTTACCTGAATTATTGAGGGAGACTGAACATCTCAAGATTTGCCTTGATATGTAAATTCCTGGACTCCACTAAGAGATCTAAACAAGAGTGGTAGGTCCATTGTGTCAGGATTAAAGGAATGCAGAGTAAGTTGGTCAGTGTCAGGTCTGCTAGACTTTCACCAGGAAATCTGTGGTAGCCATGACAAGTCTGACATATAGCTCCTGCATGACAAGTCTGACATATAGCTCCTACATGACATCTGACATATAGCTCCTGCATGACAAGTCTGACCTATTGCTCTTGCATGACAAGTCTGACCTATAGTTCCTGCATGACAAGTCTAACCTATAGCTCTTGCATGACAAGTCTGACCTATAGCTCCTGCATGACAAGTCTGACCTATAGCTCCTGCATGACAAGTCTGACATATAGCTCCTGCATGACAAGTCTGACATATAGCTCCTGCATGACAAGTCTGACATATAGCTCCTGCATGACAAGTCTGACCTATAGCTCCTGCATGACAAGTCTGACCTATAGCTCCTCAAGTCTGACATATAGCTCCTGCATGACAAGTCTGACATATAGCTCCTACATGACATCTGACATATAGCTCCTACATGACAAGTCTGACCTATAGCTCCTGCATGACAAGTCTGACATATAGCTCCTACATGTCAAGTCTGACATATAGCTCTTGCATGACAAATCTGACCTATAGCTCCTGCATGACAAGTCTGACATATAGCTCCTGCATGACAAGTCTGACATATAGCTCCTGCATGACAAGTCTGACATATAGCTCCTGCATGACAAGTCTGACATATAGCTCCTGCATGACAAGTCTGACATATAGCTCCTGCATGACAAGTCTGACATATAGCTCCTGCATGACAAGTCTGACCTATAGCTCCTGCATGACAAGTCTGACCTATAGCTCCTGCATGACAAGTCTGACATATAGCTCCTGCATGACAAGTCTGACATATAGCTCCTGCTTGACAAGTCTGACCTATAGCTCCTGCATGACAAGTCTGACCTATAGCTCCTGCATGACAAGTCTGACATATAGCTCCTGCATGACAAGTCTGACATATAGCTCCTGCATGACAAGTCTGACATATAGCTCCTGCATGACAAGTCTGACATATAGCTCCTGCATGACAAGTCTGACCTATAGCTCCTGCATGACAAGTCTGACATATAGCTCCTGCATGACAAGTCTGACCTATAGCTCCTGCATGACAAGTCTGACCTATAGCTCCTGCATGACAAGTCTGACCTATAGCTCCTGCATGACAAGCCTGACATATAGCTCCTGCATGACAAGTCTGACATATAGCTCCTGCATGACAAGTCTGACCTATAGCTCCTGCATGACAAGTCTGACATATAGCTCCTGCATGACAAGTCTGACCTATAGCTCCTGCATGACAAGTCTGACATATAGCTCCTGCATGACAAGTCTGACATATAGCTCCTGCATGACAAGTCTGACATATAGCTCCTGCATGACAAGTCTGACATATAGCTCCTGCATGACAAGTCTGACATATAGCTCCTGCATGACAAGTCTGACATATAGCTCCTGCATGACAAGTCTGACATATAGCTCCTGCATGACAAGTCTGACATATAGCTCCTGCATGACAAGTACTGACATATAGCTCCTGCATGACAAGTCTGACATATAGCTCCTGCATGACAAGTCTGACATATAGCTCCTGCATGACAAGTCTGACATATAGCTCCTGCATGACAAGTCTGACATATAGCTCCTGCATGACAAGTCTGACCTATAGCTCCTGCATGACAAGTCTGACCTATAGCTCCTGCATGACAAGTCTGACATATAGCTCCTGCATGACAAGTCTGACCTATAGCTCCTGCATGACAAGTCTGACATATAGCTCCTGCATGACAAGTCTGACATATAGCTCCTGCTTGACAAGTCTGACCTATAGCTCCTGCATGACAAGTCTGACATATAGCTCCTGCATGACAAGTCTGACATATAGCTCCTGCATGATAAGTCTGACATATAGCTCCTGCATGACAAGTCTGACATATAGCTCCTGCATGACAAGTCTGACATATAGCTCCTGCATGACAAGTCTGACATATAGCTCCTGCATGACAAGTCTGACATATAGCTCCTGCATGACATGTCTGACATATAGCTCCTGCATGACAAGTCTGACATATAGCTCCTGCATGACAAGTCTGACATATAGCTCCTACATGACATCTGACATATAGCTCCTACATGACAAGTCTGACCTATAGCTCCTGCATGACAAGTCTGACATATAGCTCCTACATGTCAAGTCTGACATATAGCTCTTGCATGACAAATCTGACCTATAGCTCCTGCATGACAAGTCTGACATATAGCTCCTGCATGACAAGTCTGACATATAGCTCCTGCATGACAAGTCTGACATATAGCTCCTGCATGACAAGTCTGACATATAGCTCCTGCATGACAAGTCTGACATATAGCTCCTGCATGACAAGTCTGACCTATAGCTCCTGCATGACAAGTCTGACATATAGCTCCTACATGACAAGTCTGACCTATAGCTCCTACATGACAAGTCTGACATATAGCTCCTACATGACAAATCTGACCTATAGCTCCTGCATGACAAGTCTGACATATAGCTCCTGCATGACACGTCTGACATATAGCTCCTGCATGACAAGTCTGACATATAGCTCCTACATGACAAGTCTGACATATAGCTCCTACATGACAAATCTGACCTATAGCTCCTGCATGACAAGTCTGACATATAGCTCCTGCATGACAAGTCTGACATATAGCTCCTACATGACAAGTCTGACCTATAGCTCCTGCATGACAAGCTAGATGTTGGAAGAGCCCTTTGGGACAGTGTGGAGGCACAACTAGATAATCACAGTCAGAGGGAAATGGTGCAGCCAGCAGTGGCCAGGGGATCTGGCCAATTATCAACACTCAAGGGAAAAGTGGGAAAGATATATAATCAGACTGGTACTTGTGACATCAGAACTGGAACTGTGTGCTTGCTGCTGAAGATGGGGACAGAGCAGTTATGAGAATGTAGTGAGTGCTGTGACAGTATTTCCTAATTCAACATGACAATAGCTTCAATGTTTATTGCTGGATACCTGTTTTTTGTTCTAATTTTTAAAATATGTTACGGTGGCTGTTAGTTTGGTTCAGATCTGTTTTACATATCTGGCCAATTTGTATGCAGACTGTTTGTTCATCACCTCTCTGACAGACGTGCTGATTTTGTGAAGGAACCCTCTCCCCCACCCCCGCCAGTTAGTCGACTTTTATGGCATGCTTGTTAGGAGGCAGTAAGTCTGTTATTATCCCCCCTCCACCCCCCCCCTCCCCACATCCCCCAACAATGGAG